ACCCTCCAGTTTCTCTTCACAGTGCAAATCCAGGATGATCACTTTCATTTACATCTTCTCTCCTGGAATGTCTCATTCATTTATTCCACACGTACTATGTCACAGCACTTTGAAAGCAAAACACCCCAGACTTTACTCAGGTAGCTACTGACGTTAGTGGTTCTCAGAGTGAAGTGTGTACCAGGATCACCTGGAGGGCAGCATTCCTGATTCAGTGGGTCTGGGGTGGAGCAGAGAACTTGCCTTTCTCCCGTGCTGCTAGCTGCTGGTCTGGGGAGCATCTTTTGAGAAGCACTGGCCCCCAACATAGCGTCCGGGGGGGGGGCTGCCGTGCTGCTGGGCAGCTCCGCCTTAGAACACGGGGAAGGCCGTGAATAAGTCTTACCTGGGTTGTTTACCTTTCTTGCTGTTACTTTACCTGCTGTATGGCTTGGGTCAGATTTCTCAGCCCCTCACTCATGAGACCATTAAGTATTAGTCGCTCTGTTGTGTCTAGCTATTTGCAAGCTCATGGACTGTAGCCTGCCAGGCTCCTCTGTCCATGGGGTTTTCTAGGCATGGAAGTGGGTTGCCTTTCCCTTCTCCAGGGGATCTTCTCAACCCAGAGGTTGAACCCGGGTCTCCCATGTTGGAGGCAGATTCTTGACCATCTGAGCCACCGGGGAACTCATTAAATCTCACTCAGGATCCCTCTTGGCCTCAGCGCTCCCTGGTACCTTGGCCACTGAAGTCGGGCTGGGAGGCCTGCTTTTCGCCCTCTCTGCAGGGGGGTTTCCAGGAACTGTAGGAGTGAATTCAGACTTCAGAGATTGGGAAGAGGAGCTTGCTTTAAAAACTGGCCCGCTGGATGAGAGCCACTGGAGGAACGGTTTTCAGTTATCTCCGGGACCCTGGTGTTCTCCGGGAGCGGTCACAGGAGTGGAGTTCCTCCAGCCAGGACCACCAGAGTCAGCCCAGACCGCTTGACTTCTATTAAAAAAGAATTTCTGGGAAACATGTTTGAAAAAAGTTCCATTGCTTTTATTTTTAACTTTGAAAACTCCAGCTCCAAAACACTTGTTCTGATTTGAGCCTCCCTTGGCTCAATATTTTGGGTGCATGTGACAGACACTGCCAGGGTTGAGAAATTTTAGATCTAGTTCCTCTGGCTACTCCCTTAGTTCACTAACAAAGAAAATGGTGGTATCTCTTTAAAGAAGTTTTGGAATTTTCTGTCAGGTGCTGTTCAGTATAGCAAGCATGACTGCATGCTGAATGCCGGGCTCAGAGCCGGGCCGGGGGTGCAGAGTAAGACCTGGCTCCTGCCCGGAGGATGTGTTGGTAGTCACCCATTCACTGCCCTCACCACACAGAGCATCTCTGCTGATACCCTGAGTTCATCCTCCTCCTGACCAACCTTCCACGTGCCTCTTAACATTTACCGTAACTCCGGATTCCATTCTAAGAGGAAAAGGGAGAGCTGACGAGCTGGAGCAAAGGATTTACCCAGTGTACGTTCCCCCTGATCTCTTAGGCTTTGCTTCAGTGGGGCTTCCTAGTGGCTCAGATGGTAAAGAATCTGCTTGCAATGCTGGAGACCCCCTATTCGATCCCTGAGTTGGGAAGATTCCCCTGGAGAAGAGAATGGCTACCTACTGCAATATTCTTGCCTGGGAAATCCCACGGACAGAGGAGCCTGGTGATCTACAGTCCATGGGGTCACAAAAGAGTTGGACACGACTGATAGACTAATACTTGGACTTTTTCACTACCTTACTATAGTATTACTCTGCATTTGGGATTTAGGACAGCAGTCCCCAATGTTTTTGGTACCAGGGACTGGTTTTGTAGAAGATAATTTTCCCACAGACTGGTGTGGAAGCGGTGGTTTGGGGATGTTTCAAGCACATTAAATTATCTTGCACTTTTCTATTTTTATTGCATTAGATCCTGGAACTTGGGGACCTCTGGCTTAGAGGACTTGGAAGCAAGTCCCCCATTCTGCTGGGCTAGGCTTTAGTATTTATTTATTGGTTGCACTGGGTCCTCCATGCTTTGTGGGCTTTTCTTTAGTTCCAGCAAGCAGGGGTTACTCTTGTTGCGAAGCATGAGCTGTAGGGTGTTCTGGCTTCTGTAGTTTCTCCCGGGCTCTAGAGAACAGGCTCAGTAGTTGTGGCACATGGACTTAGTTGCTCAACAGCATGTTCGATCTTCCCGGAGCAGGGATCGAACTCTGCATTGTCTCTGCAATGTCTCCTGCATCGGCAGGCAGATTCTTTACCACTGACCCACCAGGGAATCCGTGGGCTAGGTTTTGTGCAAATGTCCATCAGTGACTGGTCCAGTGTGAAGTAAAGCTTTAGGACAAGATGTGGAAAGATCTGGAAATCACAGATTCCATCAGGCTGAGATCTAAACCCAGACCCTAGGTCTTTAGAATCAGATACCTTAAAAGACATACTTTCTAGAAACTCTCTGAAGGGAGCCCCAGAGCACCCTGCAAGGCTCCCTCACCATCAGGCAGTAGGCTGAGCAGAAACCCTGGGCGGTGGTTATCGTTCCCTGCTGTCCCTGTGGGGCCGGACGAGCATGGGCCGAAAGATGACTGTGCTGGGTCTTGAGACTCTCTTGACTTTTTTAAAAACAGACTCAGAATGTCTTAAAATAACCTGGTAGCTGAAATAACAGCAGCAGCCACAGTCGCAGCCTGCCATTCCTGAGAATGGTTGTTTGTTTAAAATCCGAGGCATTGGTTCTGGCAGCGGTTGGTTTCCACGAGCCCAGGCTCTCACAAGAGTTGTTGCTCTAATGGAAATCATATGGTCTCATCACCACGGGAATCACGGGGCTCTGCCAACCCCTCGGTAAGGAATTTCCTCCCAGAAACTACACACACACCTCCACACCCTAGAACTGTGGAAGCAGGTGGTGGAGACCTGATCACTTTAAAGAGGATTATGATATGAATATTTTCCCATCCAAATAATTAACTGCTCATCCCCTCTTTTGGCCTAGGTTCCCCAGCCTAGCTAGACCAGCAGACTGTGTTCCCATCACCATGAGGAGGTCGCTTTGACAGCCTTGTTGACAGGGAGTTGGGGTGCCCGTGCGGCCAGAGTCTCATCAGCCCACCTTGTCGGGATCCCCTGCCTGGCCCCTAAAGGGTCATCATCAACAGCCCTTGACTCCCCCTCATCCTTTCAGAAGCTCTTCCTGGGACTGCCCTGGTGGTCCAATGGTTAAAAGACTCCACCTTCCGATGCAGAGGGTGCAGGTTCGATCCCTGGTCCAGGAGCTAAGATTCCCATGTGCCTCGCAGCCAGAAAACCAAAACATAGAACAGGAGCGGTATTGGAACAGTCAATAAAGACTTTAAAAGTGGTCCACATCAAAAATAAATTTAAAAAAGAGAGAGAAAAACTGTTATCACAATGACAACTAAGTTGATTTAAAAAAACAAAAAACTCTTCCACGCTGGCTGGAGACAGAAGTCCCGCACACACCCATTGCCTGATGAGACGCTCCTGTGGGCTTGGCTGCCTTCTGCTCATTCTGTAGGGCAGTCACACACTCAGCATGACACTCCTCTGTTTCTAACCGCCTCCCCACACTGCAAATCCTGCCCAGAGTCAGAATTTGGGGAGATAGGGGAGACCTGGAATGAAGACTTGGGGCGGCTTGTATGGCGAGAAGGAAGCAAGTGACTCTCTGGACCTGGGGTCACTTGCACTGTCGACCTCTGGAAAGTCCTGAATGGCATAGTCACTAATGGCTTTAGGGGTCACCTTTCCTGACTCCCTTGGCAGTCCCTGGGAGCATCCTTGGCCTACATGCTATCAGACTTTGACAGGTGATAAAAGCACGTACTGAGATGCTGCTTCACGGGTTCTGGATGCGTAACTGTTGACTGTGGGTATTTCTGCCTTGAGACACACCCCACCCCACCACCGTGAATGTGTGGTGGCTTCAGCAAGCCGCTTCCCGATGCATTCTGAGACCCCGGCACTTGCCCTTCAATCTGGCAAAACTGCAGCCTGAACCGTGTGGACTCGGAGCCGAGCAAGGAACACTGAGACCAGCTGGTCGGCATCACAACTCACGTGTTTTCCCTGGAAAATGAAATCAGTGTCAACAGCAGTAGTGAATGCCCTTATTTGGATCTTGGTGCAGCGCCCCTTGAATCTGAACACCCCAGACTTTGTGTTTCCATCCTCCAAACTTAGAACACCTTAAATGCCCTGCGATCACTGTGTCTGGCCTTGTGCTTCTAAACAGAAAACGCTGGGTGGTCACGGTATTTGCCAGTAATCATTGTGCCGATGAACAGAGGAGTCCTCTAGTCCCTCTGGTCTGTCGGGGGTCCTCCTGGTCCTGCCGGGCGGCCACTCTTCTCCCAACGGCTCTGCCGTGGGTCTTCACGGGAGATCGCTACTGGATCTCTCTCTTCCTCGGGGGACGCTGTTTGCTTCAGGAAGTCCCCACTGTTCAGGGGGCTCCCCATATTCCAGTTGGAAAGACATCAGAGTGTCCACTGCGGAGCCTAAGGTCTCAGAAGGCCAGGCAGGAAGCAGATGCTTACTGCTTTTCTAAAAACTTTTATTTTACTTACTGATTTTTTATAAATACTATATAATTATATATAAATTTATTATAGGGTATAAATTTAGACTTTTAAAATAAGTATGAAATAGGTTTAATTACTTACGAATGTTGAATTTATTTTTAATTGGAGAAGAATGGCTTGACAGTGTTGGTTTCTGCCGTCCAACAACATGAGTCGCCCCCCTTGACCCTCCCTCCCACCACCCCCAGTCCATCCCAGCCCTCGAGCTTTTTTTCCCCAATTCCGTCTGTACCGTTCAGTGGTCGGCGTTCAGGGGACCAGCAGCAACAGGTGACCCAGCGGCTGAGAGCGATGCGACCCGTGCCACGGACGGGGGCTCGGGCGCGCGCGGGTGTGTCTGTGACTCGGAGCCGGCGGCGGGGTGACCACTAACTGTCCCCTTCTTCTTGTCTTGCAGATGAGCTCACAGTGCCTGCACTTTACCCCAGTAGCCCTGAAGTGTGGGCCCCGTACCCTCTGTACCCAGCGGACTTAGCGCCTGCGCTGCCTCCTCCTGCTTTCACCTACCCCGCTTCACTGCATGCCCAGGTAATTGATGCCCATCGGCCACGACTCCACTCACCCCAGCACCGGTCCCTTCCAACCTGGTTCCCCAGAGCACACCGTACGACTAACACCTCTCCGGCTAACAGATCCACCTCCGAGAGATTAATGTCCCCCTCTCGATCCAGCCGCCGCTCCTCTGGGACTTCTGAGGACCGTCTGACAGCCGTGACATCACCCACTGCCTGACGCTCCCCCACCCCCGGACGACACCACTCTCTTCCTTAGTGATCTCGCCTCATGTCACACACACGGGAGACGGGCCGGGTTAGCTCTCCCCCAGCCAGCTCGCGGGCGCCCCCGAACCCAGACGTCTGTGCCTTGCTGTGCGGGGGTTCCGCGGAGGGAGGCGTGCGCGTGGGCACGAGTCGTGTGTCTGCGTGTGTTCCTCTGTATGGAGAGTTCTTCTCGTGTGTTCTGGGAGCTCGAGTGATGAAGGGGGCATGTCGGGAGTTCCCAGGAGGAAGGCTGTGTGCAATCCTACATGTGTCAAAGACCAGATTCACACTTCCAATTATTTTTAAGGGACCCTGTGGGAAAGAGGTACCATATAGTGTCTTAAATGTAATTATAAGACAGGGTCGAGGTGTGTCTTCTGACCAGCTTTCTTTCTCGGTTAAGAATAGCCTGAGTTTTATAAACAAACTCCAGTGTTTCTTCACAAAGATTACTGTCTGTCTACTTACCAACCCTTTCTCTTCCCTTGGGGGAAAAAAACTGTTTCTCTTAGCTTTGCTTTTTTTGCAAGCAGTAGTAATCCATGTTAAGATCCAGAGTGATGATCAGTAGCAAATAAGAGAGAAAAAATATGGCTGTCATTTGTCTTATTCCATGTGTAACTCCTTTAAAAGCAGAAAAGCCTGTTTTTACAATATCATCAGCCTGAACAGGTTTGGGGAGGAGGGGGATTGTTTTGCTTAGTGGTTATTGACCAGGTCGGGTGAAATCAACAGCTTGCCAGAAAACCCTTCTGACTTAACACTCTTTGACATGGTACAGAACTTAACTGTGTTGTACACGACACCTACCAGCCGCCCCAGTGAGGGTTCTCACAGGGAGGCCATAGGCTCAGAGTGTTGTTAGACGGACATCCTTCCGTTCTCTCCCAGCTGTTGTCAATGCTTTGATTGTGCATGGACAACCCGACCTCTCAGGTACCATGCAGGAAACCTACAAAGAAAAAGTCCAGGTGGTGCCTGCGCCTCCAGAGTGGGGAGAGGCGGGTGGAAAGAGTCCAAGTAGTGAGGACACACGTAGGTGGTGGTGGTGACTGCTCTTGGCACAGAAAACAGAATTACAGGGTTATTCCAAGACTGATCCCAATCTCTGGATTGCCCGTGCTGTTCGCTTTTCCTTCCCTTGCTGCCCTTTTCACCTTTGGTCCACGTCAGTGCTTGGTCACTCTTGCAACGGCAGGTAGGGAAAAGGGAAAGGGAACCAGCAGACGCCTTCTGCTGGGTTATCAGAATGTTCCTGGGGGCCTCAGGCATAATTTCATAGAGGCCGTGGAGCAACTCAAGAAGTCCTCTCTGTTGGTGGCCCACCCCTGCCATCTGGGGTATGTGATCCCCCTTCTTCCTCTTCCTGGACTGCCTAGATACAGATCCATTGACTGTCGAGGCCATGTTAATAATATCATGAAATGGTGCCAAGTTTGCATAGTCTTCTAAGTACCCATGGCTTTGGTTAATCAGCCACAAAGCCTTTTCACCACTGCCTGGGAAAAGCAAGAACCGACACTGGCCGAACAGGACCGGGAATGAGAGAGCCGAAAGCCCAGGCCATTGTGAGAAAGGATGAGGAGAGACGGTGCCAAGATAAATGGACGCGCCTGTTCTGGCTTATGGGGATGTGCACTGCCCATGGTGGCATGGTCCCCATGAGCTGTTCCTTGGTCTTGAGGCTTTCCCAGCCGGGCATCCACTTGGCATCGCTACATCAGCCCTAGAGCTGGTGGGACTCTCATCTGATACCAGTGTGAGATCCTTGCGCTCAATCCCGCTTCTTGTTGGGGGTCCTTCCCAGTACAAGCTTGAGTTCTGTATCACAAAGACTGATGAACAGATACGGTTATTTAAGTGTCTTTGTCCGATATGAGAATCGTAGAATGAACTGGGAGAGGCTTGACAGATCAGCTGGTCTGACCCATTTTACAAATGAGGACACAGACCGGAGAAGATGCAGAGAGTTGTCCAAAGTCTGCACGTGGCTCTGCTGTGGCCAGAGTCAGGCCGCCTGATTCCCAGCCCTGTCCACACCTCAGAGCTATCCCACCAGAGACTAATTCTTTGATGGAATTGTGGAGAGGCCTTGCTCCAATGACTCCTTGGATCTTTTTCTTCTCAAAGTAGATGAGAAGCCTGTAAGAAGAGATTTGGAGGCAGAGACGAGGGACTCAGAACTTAACCTTCACCCAAAAGGCCTAAGAGAATTTTTACTAACTGGAGGTAGAACAGAGGGGAAGGCCAGAAGGGAGCATCCCGTTAGTGGCTAATTCATTTTTGTTCTGGAAATCTTATTATATGTCTTTGGAGATCAGCTTTGAGATGATTTTGCTTTTCTTAGTGATGTTGTGCTCTGTTTTGAGACATGGATTTTTTTTTTCTTCTAGTGTTTCTCTCCTGAGGCAAAGCCCAACACACCTGTCTTTTGTCCACTTCTCCAGCAAATTAGATTTGTCTCTGGAAATGTGTTTGTAACATATCAACCTACTGCAGACCAGCAGAGGGAGCTCCCATGTTGAATTTGCTTGTTAGCTGTTTTTTTTTTTTTTTTTTTCCCTTCCCTCTCTTTTGCAAAAACTATTTCTTGGTAACGTTTGAGAGATTTCAATAAAAATTTTAATTAGAGCAAAAATGATCTCAAGTAGACTGCAGCGTTTTGTTTTTCACGGTGATGCGACTCTGGAGCTAAGATGCTATCTCTGACGGAGATTTGGGGAGAGCTGGGCCCAGAATGCTGAGTACACATTATATGGGAAAAGGAGCCAGCATCCCAGGGAGACTTGGCCCAGGCTTGAGGCCTCGCCACTGCTGCCTGTATCCTCTTGGGCTCCTGTGCCATCAGAGCTGCATATTAGAAGTTGCTCACTCTAGCATCCATGGGTCACACCTGCTGGGAGCTGTCACTTCAACAAGGGTGGATGTCTTTTCCAGTCTGTCTGATCCAGAAGGAAGTTCCAGGAGAGACAGAAATTATCGCTGCAAAAGGAGTTGATGCTTCGTATCTCTACTTCTGCCCGGCTTATATGGTGCCTCCATGTACATCGAAGATGTGTGTTGGACATCACATCCCACTTGTAAAGAATATTTGGAGAAGGACTGTAAGCCACAGTACTGCCTTTTGTACTTCTAGAGATAAGAGAGCAGCTGATTTCTGAGAAGATCATTCGCGTTTTAAGAAATGCTCATCCTGCTTGCTTTCCACTATCGTCAGTATTTGAAATGTATTGAGTGTATGACGTGCGTCACTGTGGACGAGGGAGGAAGGTTTCATTCACGACTTTTAGGAAAAGTGCACGTGGAAGACGATCCACACAGCTCCTCTTACCTCATATTCACACATCTCAGCTGTTTTTTTTTGTTGTTGTTTTTTTTTAAAGTCTGGGTTCATTTTTGCTTTTGGTCTGCTTGCTAATGGGGCTGAGAGGAAGCCAATAAAACACACTGTCCTCTTCCACAGTCTAGAAACAATAGCATTTACCCTTGACCAGAGTCACACTGAATTGAGCCAGGAACTTGTGCAGGTAAGTGAGACCGGAAAAGCAGGTCCTGGCTACCAGCCTGTCTCTCCTCCGCGGGCCGGGCTGCCCTGCAGCTTGTGACCGGAGTGCATCCCTGCCCGCGAACAGAAGGTCTTCAGATGAAACCACAGACCTCCCGGGGCAAGACGGGCCCCTGGAGAGGTCTCCTTGTGACATACTGGAAAAATTCTAAAGGTTAGACCTAAAATAAATGCCAGAATGGACCATGGGAAAAAGACATAGGCAAACCGGGACGAAGGCATGGGGGCGAGATGGCCTAGGGTGAGGTGTGGGTATCCTGACCGCCAGGTCCTCGCCCCAGACACTGTGCAGTTTCTAGAACTGCATTTGTAAACTTTTTTTTTTTTTTAAAGCAGATCTCTTAAGCATCTCCTCTGTCACTGAACCCCCACAGTGAATACTGAGATGAAGCAGCATGGTCTGGCATGAGTCGGTCTTAAGTGTGGTACATAGCTGGTCGGAGGGGGCGTGGAGAGGGAGGCAGGTGTGACTGGGGACTCACACGGCGGGGACTCTGTTCTTTGAGCTTCTCCCTCCTATTCACAGGGCAGCAGCCAGGGAGAGCTGGCCTGAGAGCAGAACCCCCCTGCTTCCCTGCCAGAGGCGACCTCAGCCCCTCCCCAGCTGCCAGCCTCCAAGAGGAAAGGGAGGTGTCAGGAGATTCGGGTGTGGTTTCTCTTCCCCCTGACAACCTCATCCTTGAGGCCTGGCTTTCCCAAACACGTCTTATCCTGTAGCCCTGGGGCTGGTCTCTGTCCCAGAGACCCCAGCCTTGAAGGACTGCCTTTGAGGCAGTTCAGCTCAAGGCTTTGAATTGTTCTCAGGCATAAATGAAACTATTAATCCTCTGACATTTGCTTTTCTCTTTAAACCTGCAACTCCGTGAAGGTCAGAGTAGGGGCGGGGGGAACCACACCCTGGCAGTCTGTCTCCTGACCGCACCAGCCTTGTCTCGTTCCCTGTTTCTGTTTGACTTTCTGGTCACCTAAGAGCCCCTGGCTCAGCTCCCATAGGAGACCGAAGGTGGGCAGGGCAGGGGTGGTGCTCACAGCCCAGCCTCTCGTGAGCACCGGGCCCCCTTTCCTGTTCCAGTCCCCCCAGCCCCTCCCTAGGGGGCTCTTTCCCTGCCAACCCCATAAGGCCTGAGGTTTCTGGGGCTCCCTGGTCAGATGCGGGCTTTGCCATTTACAGGTTCTGTGACCTTGACCCACGTTCCTTAAAG